TCTCCCTGTAGCCCCAGCTGTCCTGGAACTCACTATGTAGAACAGGCTGGCGTTGAACTCACAACGATCTGCCTGCCTCTGCCTCCAGAGTGCTAGGACTAAAGACATGCGCCACCACACCCAGCTGGGAGACCCTTTCAAAAAGACTAAAAATAAATAAAGTAGTAATGGGCTGGAGAGATAGCTCAGCAGTTAAGAACACTGGTTGTTCTTGCAGAAGACCCAGGTTCAAATCCAGCACCCACATGGCAGCTAACAATTGTCCGTAACTCCAGTTCCAGGGGATATAAAGGCCTCTTCTGTTCTCCTTGGGCATTGCATGACACAGTTGCACTTACCTACACGTAGGCAATACACACATGCACATAAAATAAAAAATAATTTTTAAAAAATATTTTTTAAATAAATAAAAAATATTTAAAAAATAAGATAAAGTAATAAAAATAATAATAGACAAGAGAGTCAGTGCTGGGACTCTGAATCCTGCTGGGAAACAGATTCAGAGGATGCCCACCATGCCCATGTGTAGTGTGAGGGACACAGGCTGCCCCTGCCCCCATCGACAGCATCACTCACTTCCGGCCCGCCTTGCCATTGACTCGGAGCAGCCAGGGCTGGTCCTCGGGCCGGAACTCCTTGAGGACGATGCCATACTTCTTCCTTCTCGCCTCTTCCCGGAGCTTGCGGTTGAACTCGCTGCCTGCGCCTGACTCAGGCATCTCCTCCTCCTGGTAGATTTTCTTATTGCTTAGATCTCGTTCAAGTCGAGCCTGGAGAAGCAGAGCACACAGTTGCTCTGAATCGCACCTTCGCCTGTCCCCATCCCTGCACCAGAAAGGCCCTTTTTTCCTCTAGGCTGGGTATCATGTGTTCTGCGCCAACTCCCCACCTAGCATGAAAGGTGTAGGGGGTTAGGATTTGCTGAATCCGGCCACAGGAAGGGGCCATGGAGATGGCTCAGTGGGTAAAGTGCTCATCTTGTAAGCACGAGGTACAGCGTTAGAACTGCCAGTACCCACAGAGCTGGGCATGGAGGCACACATCTGTGATCCCAGCAGGGAGGTGGCGACAGGCAAATCCCTGGAGCTCTTAGCTAGTCTAGCTTAATGAGGAAGAGCCAGGTTCAATGAGACCTGTCTCAAAAAACAAGCTGGAGGGGCAGACAGATCTCTGAGTTTGAGGCTGGCCTGGTCTACATAGCAGGTTCCAGGCAAGCAGGAGCTACAGGAAGACCCTCTTTCAAAAAAGATAATAATAGTAATGATAATGATAATGTAGGAGACGACTGAGGAAGACACCGGAGATCGGCTGTTGGCCATAGGCACAGCCATTCACATGCATGGCACACCTACATGCACACAAGCACACACACACACACAACACACAAAATGGATTCAGGAGACATAGAATAATAACTAACAATAAGAAGAAGTCTAACTGTTCTGGGGTGATCGTCACACACCTTCTCCATTCTGTCAGTCTCTCTCCAGTTTCCAGACAGCTGGGGAGACCTAGGCACCATTGCTCACTAAAATAAGGTCACTGGACACCAATACTGCCGCACAGACGAGTCACTGAGCTCATAAAGACAGTTACAAAGACTCCAAAGGTCTACAGCAGCCACCAAGGGGTGACCCACAAGCAGCCCAGACAGGATGGAGACAGTGACATTTCAACACAGCTTCAGAACTGTGGGCAATGTAAAACTTTGAGCTTTCTAATTTTCTTATTCTTATTCCTGAGAGGCCTTGTTATGTAGCCCAGACCAGCTTCAAAGTCACAAGCCTCCTGCTTCTAGCTCCCTGTGGTAACCCACGTCTGGCTTATGCTTCGCGAGACAGGGTCTCCCTGTAGCCCCAGTTAGCCTGGAACTCAAACTCACATAGATTCGCCTTCCGAGTGCTGGGATTAAAGGCATGCGCCACCACGCTGGCTTGTTCTCGTTTTCCAGAAAAGTTTTCCCAGCTGGCCTGTAACTTGCTATGTAGACTAGGCTGGCCTCCACCTCAGAGATCTGTCTGCCTCTGCCTTCCCATGCTGGCGTGTGCCTGATTTTGGCTCTATCTTTAAATTTTTTTTTTTATTTAATAACCAAATGATTAGAAGAAGCATTTCATTACAGCTTTAACACATTCAGTAACAATTTCTAGAGCAAAGATACATCTCTTTCAAAAGGGGCTGTAAATTTTTAGGTTCACAGTTGAATTAATAGTTATGCAATATTAAATTCAGTATAAACCCTGTAAGACATAAAATTGAATGAGTTTTTAACCTTTAAAAAAGATCTCCATTTCATTTTAAAATATACTGTTTCCTGCAGACTTTTTAATGCTACTAACACTTAGATGCTTGCACATGCATCTCTAATCTCTAGATATATGATTATTACTAGTCACAGTCAGATCCTTGGCACCTGAGTATGGCTATAAAGTCATCAGGTAGATTTCAATGATAATGTTTATCACCTCTACTAATTAAAATGAAGTAAATTTTTATGCTTCCTCCTCAAATATAACTCATTTTTTTGTTGATTTGTGTGCATATCATACAGAACATCCCAAACAATCTTACTCATCTATATACCCACTTCCCAAATGGCACCCTCCCATAGCACCTCCCCACCAGAGTCCCTATAGTCTGTCATCCCTGTTACTGTCCACTATGTTGTCGGTGCCCCGAGCTGTTCCCCAGTGCTTGTCCATCTGCTCAATCTAGTCAGCCTGTCTAGAGAGCCTTGTTTTAGGAAGATCAGCTGTTCCTCATCTAGCAGCAATCAGTTGTCAATATTCCTTTAGATAAGATTGGGGTCTGCTGTTCATTTTCCCAGTTCTATGCTGGGTTATTATCTGGGAGTCTCTTGGGCAACCTTGGCCAACAACTCAAAGGACAGTGTCTCCTGTCTGGCATTGTTTCCTGTTATGTAGCCTTTAGCTATACACATAGACTCTTAAAAAAATTATATTGACTCCTTCAATCTTTGGTTATACTTTCCTTTGGGTGTTTAAGACCCTATAGTTGTCCCAGATAAACCAATTTATTTTTACTCTTAAGGCCGTTTGAGGATCTGTTCCTCAGGGGGTCACATGGGCTTGGGCAGAGCCCCTGGCTCCTTTCTTTTACCAGTTCCATCTATGTGAAGATAAGTCAAAGGTTCTGCTCAACCATGGCTGGCTTCGCTTGGAAGCATGGAGGAAATGTTTCTCTTTGTTGACCCTCCTCTTTGTAGACTGGACACTGGTTCAAATCCATCTGGTGGAGTCTCCACGGCCTCCTTGATCAAGAGGACAGGTGGCTCACCATAGTTACAGGACATTTTGAGAGATACTCATAGTCCCCTGGAACTTAGTTGACCTAGGAGGACAAGGAGCAAAAACTGTCCTTTATATCCCTCTGACCAAATTAGTATAGGCCTCAAAGTATGGCCATTAAACATCCAAGGACCTGGGCGTGGTGGCAAGGAGCAAAAACTATCCTTTATGTCCCTCTAACCAAATTAGTATAGGCCTCAAATATGTCTGTTAAACATCCAAGAAGATTAGTTCTACCAGTCTGGTACTTTTAATTACCATGTGCCATGTAGATAAAGCTTGGACAAAAACAAACTTTCTCAGATAAACCTTGCCTAGACATATATTATATTCCTTGATCTAGTTGTATGTATAATTTTTCAGTAGGTTGTTGTACTAATATGGTTCTCTCAGGTTTTTTAAAACTAGCTAGGCATTATTTATCTCTCACATTGTCTAACCCTTCCACCATGGTTTCCCCATTTAAGGTGCCCCTATTTTTCCCATTTCTCTCTTAATAATACCCTTCTCCTATGGTTATCTTTAAATTTTTTAAACTCTTTCATTTGTGGGGACCAGGGGACACACACCAAGTCATGTTGGAGAGGTCAGAGTTGTTAACAACTTAGGAACATCAGTTCTCTCATTCTAGCATTAGATCCCAGTGATCACTTGTAATCAGTCTTGGCAACAAGTGCCTGTATCCCCTGAGCCGTCTTACTGACTCATTTTATCTTCTTTTTATTATTTCTATTTATTTTTATTTCATGTGTGTGACTATTTTGCCTGCATGTATGTAATGCACCATGTATGAGCAATGCCCCTCAGAGACCAGAAGAGAACATTGGATCCCCTGGAACAGTTGTCAGCCGCCATGTGGGTGCTGGGAATGCAACCCAGGTCCTCTGCAAGAGCAGCCAGTGCTCTTTACCACTGGAGAGCTGGCTCTGCAGCCCCTGAAGTGCTGCTCTGTGAGGCTGACACCTGAGACTCCTGTCAGCCTGGTGTTGCCACTTCTCATCTTGTGTTTTGTTTTTGAGACAGGATCTCTCTGTAGCCCCAGCAGGCCTGGAACTCACTATGTATCCCAGGCTGGCTTCCATCTGCCTGCCAGTGCCAGGATTAAGGGCATGTGCCACTATACCTAGCCCTTTCTCATCATTTTATCGCCACTTGAGCGCTGAGGAACCCGGCACTTGCTATTGCCACAGCCAGCCCAGGGTTAAGTCCAGTATTAAGGACTTACCTGGTTCCAGTTAGCAAAGTTGACCTTATCAGCTGCATTAAAAGCCATGATGTTGTACTTTTTGGTTGTGTTTCTGGAATGGCCAAGAGAGTGTTCAATCAATTAATTATTCATTCAAGAAACCCACCAAGATTCAGGCCCTACTCTTGGGCCCTGCTGTGAACTCAGAAAAAAGAACCCAGTTTGTCCAGGAAGATGGATTCATCTTCCTCAACCTCATGCAGAAAAAAAGGATGCAAAAGATGTGGGGGAAATCAGGCTGTGGGGACAAGATAACATTAGCAGGAGGCTGAGAAGGCAGTGAGGAGAACTGGGCTTGCAAAAAAGTCAACAAGACCCCACCAGCGGGCCAGCTGCTGTTCCATGCCCGTTATGCAGGTACTTTGGTAGCTGAAGCAGGAGGATAAGGAATTCAAGTCTGGCCTGAGCAACTCAGTTGAGACCAGGTCTCAGAAGAAAGAATAAAATGGGCACTGAGCGTGGTGGCACACACCCCTAATCCCAGCACTCAGGTGGATACAGAGGTAGGTGTCAGATCCAAGCCAGCCTGGGGTACAGGATAAAACCCTGTCTCCAAAATCATCCCATCAGTCAGTAAGTAGAACTTGCCCTCAGAGGTGGAGCTTGTTTGGTATTTACCTAGGAGTCAAGAGTTAGGGAACCAAGGTCTGGAGAGCTGGCTCAGCGGTTAAGAGCACTGGCTGCTCTTGCAGAGGACCCACATTCAGTTCCCAGCACCCATATGGTGGTTAACAACCATCAATTCCAGGGGATCTGAGGCCTTCTTCTGACCTCCGTGGGCACTGCAGGACACGGGTGCACTTATACACATGGAGGCAATACATTCATACACATAAACTCCTCTGGAAGAGGAGCCTAAGCTCTTAACCGCTGGGCCATCCTTCCAGCCTCCCGGGTTAATTTTTAATCTTGGGGAACAGGGTCTCACTATTGCAGCCCAGGTTGGCCTGGAACTCAGAAATCCACCTGTCTCCGCCCCCTCCTCCCCCCGAGTGCTGGAATACAGGCCTGCATCACACACCGGTTGCCCAGTTGAGACAGGACAAAGTCGCTGACCACTAACAAGGGGCAACCCCTCAGGGCCAGGGGGCAGCATGGAGCGCGCGCACGGCGGCAAGGTCCAGGTCTGCTCCCCGCCGCGCCCGCAGTCCGGATGCCGAACGACCCCCGGCCTAAAGCAGATGGCAGGCTCTTCGGGGTGTACTGCGGATGGACGGACTTACTTGGGTACTCGAACGACATACTCGGTGACATTCTGGCTGCCGGGGCCCTGCGGGGAGAGGATGGGCTGGTGAGGCGAGGCGAGGCAAGGCGAGGCCGCTCTCCGAACCCCAACTCATTCATACTCACCAGCGCCGCCATTGTCGCTGTTCCAGCGGCTCCGGGGCGGCGTGAGCCGGCGCTCTGTCGTCGTGCCTCAGCCCCGCGAACGTCACCCAAGGTTGGTGTCAGAGTTAGACAGACTTGAGATCCCCAAACCCCAAGTACCGCAGTGCTGAGAGAGGGGCGGAAAAAGACTCCGTGTGCGCTTGCGCAACCGAATGACCCGGAAGAAGAACTACCGCGTCGCCAAAGTAACGTCCCCTGCGCTGTCGCTTCTCCAAAACCCTGCGAGCTCTGGCAGAGACCAAGCAGACAAGACCTATGCGCACGCGCAGCTAGCTGCCCAGCGTCGCGAAGGAAGCTCGCGCCCTCGGGCAGAACTTCCACCTCTCCGCAGCCTTCCCTACCGCACTCTTATATAGCGCGATACGCACGCCCCTTCTCGGTGACGTCACGACGCCGGCAGCGCCGGGCATCCTGGGTTGAAGCATGGGAACTGATTTCCTTGGTGGGTACTTTCCAAAGGAGCTTTTGCGCATGCGCAGGGCGCTCCTCGGCCGCGGACGCCGAGGCCGCGTTGCCCTAGTAACTCAGGCTGGCTAGGTGGGGTGGAGCTGGGTTTCTGAGTTTTTCTGGCGCCTGTTTGGGGTTCACTTTGTTTCTCTGTGTGTCGTGGTGCCTTGGGGAATCCTGTGCTTGCCAGTACTCGGGAGGTAGAGGCAGGAGGATCTCTGTAAGTTCTAGGCCAGCCTGGGCTACATAGCAAGCTCCAGACCAGCTGGGGCTGTATACAGGGAGACCTCGCCTCAAAAAACCAACCAGACAAATAAATGAGCCCCTTGTGACGTTGAGTGGAGCCCAGAGGGGTCAGGGCAGGGTGGGGACAGGGTGCAGCCATATTCAGGGGTGCAAGGCAGGATGAGTCTGGGAATCCACGCTGCCCCAGATGGGTAGAGACTTGAGGCCCCAGGAGAAGGGTAACGTCGCGGGGGTTGGCTGGCTTCCTGGGGAAACAGGAGACTGGAGGACGAGGGTCTCCACCGTCTGGGTGTGTACACCCCCAATCCCCACCCTTTAGCGTGGTAGGAACACAGGTACGCATGTTCCTGGCAACCCCGTTCTTTGATCCATTTGGGAGATGGTTGACTCAAGTTCCCCGTCTTAGAAATTACAACGAAGCAGAGAAGACAGTCTTGGAAAATGGAAATTATTACGGGTGGTAGCGAGCTCCGGAGTGCTGGGGGGCGGGGCGAAGAGGCCTCGAAGGATGCCTAGGAGTTGGCCAAGCAAAGGGACAGGGGTCCAGTGTGAGGACTTGGCCGAATACACACCCCTCTCACAACCTGTTTCTTCAGGGTAGAACAGGGTGATGGAGTCACTGGGCTGCTTCAGCGAGGTCTGTGCGAATGGCCCAGATGCACCCAGATTCTCCCACACTCCTAATTGTGTGTCCCAAAGACACACACTAACTCCTCCCATTTTTCTCTCTTCCCCTAAATCCCCCCTTATCATCTTCGTGGTGGGCGGCCCTGGCTGCGGGAAAGGGACCCGGTGTAGGAATATGGCCACCAAGTATGGCTTCTGCCATGTGGGGCTGGGCCAGCTGCTGTGGCAAGAGGCTCAAAGAAGCACCCAGCGGGGCTGGCAGATACGAGACATCATGCGGCAGGGGCTCCTGGTGCCCACGGTGAGAGTTGGGGCAGAGATAGGGGTCACAGGAAGACAGAATTTTCAGGAGCACTGTCCTCTGAAAATCTGTCCTTTTCTGAAAATGGGGAGACCACATAAAAGGGGAGGCGAGGCGGGGCGGGGCGATGGCAGACCTTTAGTTCTTGTGCACTTAGGAGGCAGAGGCAGATGATCTCTGTGAGTTCAAGGCCAGCATGGTCTACATAGTGAGTTCCAGACCGGCTGGGGCTAAAGGGAGACCCTGACTCAAAAAGACCAAAAGGGGGTGGTGGTGCTGTGGTGGGGACTGGTGGAGACAACTTACCTGGCATTAGGCAAGGAGCTTGGATTCCCTCCCCAGCACCGCATAAGCCAGGTGTGGTGGCACATGGCTGTCATTCTAGCACTCAGGAGGCAAGCTGAAGCAGGAGGATCAGTTCGGGGTCATCTGGGCTACATAGAGAGTTCATACCAAGGGCCATTGAGATGATACAATGTTAAATATGCTTCCTGCCAAGCCTGAAGACATGAGTTTGATCCCAGGGTCACACGCGTGCACACACACACTCTCTCTCTCTCTCTCTCTCTCTCTCTCTCTCTCTCTCTCTCTCTCTCTCTCTAAATAAACCACATCCCAGTGCTTGGAAGTCTGCACATCCACAGATTCAGTGAACCTGATTTAAAATATATGGTGCACACGTTTTTTTCCTTATAATCTGCACCGAAAAGCGTTAACAACCATTTACCTAGGATTGATAGTATACCAGGTGTTATAAGTTGTTTGAGGGATGCATTAAAGTATGTGAAGGTGGGGCTGGAGATTAAAGTATGTGAAGGTGGGGCTGGAGAGATGGCTCAGTGGTTAAGAGCACTGACTGCTCTTGCAGAGGACCCGGGTTCGATTCCCAGCACCCACACGGTGACTACCAGCCGTCCTTAACTCCATTTCCAGGGGAATCCGAAGCCCTCTTCTGACCTCTGTGGCATTGGCATTGCAGGACAGGGGTGCATTTACTTACATGCAGGCGATACACTCACACACATAAAATAAAACTAATAAAATTTAATAAATAAATAAAATTAATTTTAAGCTGTGTGAAGGTATGGTGGAAGACTTCCATCACGGCAGCAGTCAGGAGGTGGAGGCAGGAGGGTCAGGAGTTTGAGGTCATCCTGGGCTATAAGAGACCCCGTCTCAAAAATAAGTAAATAAAAGACTGGAGAGATGGCTCTGCAGTTAAGAGCATTGGCTACTCTTGAAGAGGACCCAGCTTCAATTTCCAGTACCCACATGACACCTAACAACTGTCCATATCTCCAGTTCCAGGGGATCCAAGGCTCTCTTCTGGCCTCTGGGCATTGCATACACATGGCGCAGGCAAAACACTTATGCACATGAAATAAAAAATCATTAAAAAAATAAAGAAGAGCAGAGGCAAAGGCAGGCAGATCTCTGTGAGTTCAAGGCCAGCCTGGTCTACATAGTGAGTTCCAGGACAGCTGGGGCTACAGGGAGACCCTGTCTCAAAAAGATCCACCCCCCCAAAAAAATTGAGACAAAGTTGGGTGTGGTGGCCCAGTCCTTCAACCCTAGCACTTGGGTCTACCTCTGTGAGATCAAGGTCAGCGTGGTCTACATAGGGGGTCTGATTCAGGTACCAGATTGTGCTTTTTCTGCCTCATCTGAGGACCACACTGAGTGACCTCCATAGCCCTGGCCTCTTTGGGTGAGGGTGAGGACTGAGGGGCTTGGCCATCACCATTGTGTCCTGATCCATGACTTTCCTTCCCAGGATCTCATCCTGGATATGGTAAGCAACAATTTACTGTCCTGCCCAGAGACCCGTGGCTTCCTTATTGATGGCTTCCCCCGAGAGCTGGAACAGGCCAAAGAGTTTGAGCAGATTGTGAGTGACCCAACCCTGAAGTGTCCTTGGGTGTATGTGCCTGTGTTGACCTGCCTGGTGCCAAGCCACACCTCTCCCTGGTACTCAGAAAGCCTTAATGAATGACGATGACGATCAGAGGGGCTGGAGCTGGGAAAAGACAGGGTCTTCCTTGAACCCTGCCCCTCTAGCTCTTCCTCTTCCTCATCACCTCCCCTCCTCCCCTACTTCCTTCTCCCCCACCCCTTTCTTTTCTTTCTTGTTCAGACAGGAGCTCATGTAGCGTGCATCACCACACCTGGTTTTGTGGGGCACTGAGGGAGGAACCCAGGGCTTCATGCATGCTAAGTGAACCTTCTACCCACTGAGCCTTAGCCACAGCTTAGAAATGGAATTCGCTATTGTGGAAAATAGCCAGAAGCTGAGCTTGGTGGCATACACCATGATCCCCCACCCAGGAACCTGTGAGGCAGGAGGATTGGGAATTCCTGGCCAACCTGGGCTACATACCAATTTCAAGGCCAGCCAGTGAGTCTATGGCTAGACCCTCAGACAAACACAATTCAAACAAACCAGAGAGATGATTCAGTGATTTAGAACACACACCGTAGACCAAGACTCTCCTCTGTCTCACAGAGATCTACCTACCTCTGCATCCTGAGTCATTGGACACCACCCCTGACTCTGTCACCCTCTTCTGGCTTCTGCTGGTATTGGACAACATGGGTGCATTTACACACATGCAGGCAAAACTCATGCACATTAAAAAAAAATTATATATATATATATATATTTGAAAACCAGAAATAAAGGACTAAGGCAGAGCTGAGTGCGGTAGGCCACACTTTTAATCCCAGCACTTGGGAGGCAGAGGTAGGAGAGTCTTTGTTCATTCCAGGTCAGCCTGGTCTGTACAGTGAGTTCCAGGCCACCCAGGGCTACACTGTGAGACCCTGTCTCAAAACAGAAAAACAGAAAAGATGGAGAACAACTCTGGATGATGCCCTATGTGACCTCTGACCTCCATGCTCACACACATGCAGGCAAAACTCTGGATGCTGATGGTATGGAGCCCGTGGAATATTCCAAAAGATCCAGAAGGTGGATTTCCCCATGCAGAGTGTTGCCAAGGGCCCAGGAAGCATTCACACTGCTGTTGCCATGGGGATGTGCAGGCCCCATGTTGCCAAGTCGGTGGGTTTTGCACAGAAGCATGGAGTGTGGCTGCCAAGCTGCCCCCCCCCTTTTTTAATGTTGGCCATAAATTCCTAAAATTGTGAAACTCCACATCACCCAAATGGAGCAGTTAGTGATGGAGCTCAGGTCTACAACCTCCATCCATGATAGACCCCTAGGAAATTCATACAGCTGGGCTTGTTTTTGTTAAAGACAGGGTCTATCTCATGTAGCCCAGGTTGGCCTCAGACTTGCTAAGGATGACGCTCAACTCCTGATCCTCCTGTCTCTACCTCCAGAGTGCTGGTTTATAGGTGACCACCACCACATCTGACTCTGAGGTCACCTGCTTTAGGTTGAACAGGCAGGGTCAAGGAATGGAAGGCTGTTTTTAGTTCTCAGACTTTATACCAACAGACTGCTCTGAGTGGGAAGATAAAGGGGAAGGACCCCACATACCCCTGGGGACACCCCCAGCCCCCAGTGACCTTTGATTTCATTAAAGCACCTGGCCTTTGAAGTTTTGGGGTTTTTACTTTTTGGCTTATTTATTTTTTAATTTTTAAAAACATTTTTGGTCTTTTTGAGACAGGGCCTCTCTGTAGCCCCAGCTGGCCTGGAACTCGCTATGTAGACCAGGCTGGCCTTGAACTCACAGAGATCCGCCTGCTTCTGCCTCCCAAGTGCTGGGATTAAAGGTGTGCGCCACCATGACCAGTGTTTATTTTCTTTTGAGACAGGGTCTCACTTGTGTAGCCATGGTTGGACTGGAACTCACTATATAGTCAAGATTGGAATTCTCAGAGATCCCCTTGCCTCTGCCTCCTGAGTGCTGGGATTAAAGGTGTGTGCCACTGCACTCAGCTTGTTTTGTTTTTTAAATTTTATTTATTTTTACTTTATTTGAATGAATGTTTTACCAGCATGTGTGTAAGTGAACCCATGCCATGCAATGCCCACGGAGGCCTGAAGATGGCATCAGATCCCCTGGAACTGGAGTTAAGGATAGTTGGTAGCTGCCATGTGGGTGCTCGGAACCAAATCCAGGGCCCTCTGGAAGAACACCCAGTGCTCTTAACCTCTGAGCTCTCTCTCCAGACCCTTGGCATGTTTTGAGATAGAGTCTTATGTAGTCCAGGCTGGCCTCAAATTCACTATGTACCAGGGGATGACCCCCAACTCCTGATCCTCCACCTCCCAGTACTGGATTGACAGGCATGTGCCACCATTGCTGAGCAAGCTGACTTATTTTATGCTTTGCTGGTTTTGGAGACAGGGTCTCTGTATGTAGGCAGCTGGTCTGGAAGCGTCTTTGACCCTTGTGACTCAGTCCCTTTAGTGCCAGGAACACAGGCACATCCCACAGCAGAGTGCTGTTGGGATGGTTAATTTCTTGTTTATTTTTTGCAGTGCTGGGGATGAAACCTGAGCTTCACACTAGGTCAGTGCTCTACTACTGAGCCATCCTCCATTCTAACCTGCACTAGCAATGGGTTAGCTCTATCATATGCTCTGTAAATCTCGGTTAATTGTTCCCAGTGAGGTGGCCCAGGTAGATCTCTGTGAGATTGAAGCCAGCTTCATCTACATAGTGGGCTCCAGGCCAGCTAGGGGCTCAAAAAATCAAAACAAACAAAAGTCTCGATTAATTGCCTCTTTTAAAAAATATATTTTATTTATTAGTTTTATTTTATGTGTCTGCTTGCATGTAGGTAAGTGCACCTGTGTCCTGCAATGCCCTCAGAGGACAGAAGAGGCTGTCAGATCCCCTGGAACTGGAGTTACAGACAGTTGTTAGCCGCTGGGTGCTAAGTGGTGGAATCTGAACCTAGGTCTTCTGCAAGAACAGCCAGTGTTCTTAACTGCTAAGGCATCTCTCCATCCCCCAATTGCCTTTCTTTAAAAAAAAAAATTAAACTATTTTATTATTTGTATTATATGTATGTGAGTGTATTGCCTGAATGTATGTAAGTGCACCCATGTCATGTTCAATGTGCAAGTTAGAAGAGGACTTCAGATCTGGAACTGGAGTTACAGACTGTTGTTAGCTACCATGTAGGTGCTGGGAATTGAACCTGGGTCTTCTGTAGGAACAGCCAGTGCTGAGCCAGTTCTCTAGACCCCAAACTGCCTTTCTTTTAAAGACAGAAAAAAACATTGTGCTGCTCTGGTTTAGAATCCCCCAATGAGGGGCTGAGGGCATACTTGCCTATCATGCAAGAGTCCTTGAGTTCCTTTGTTGTATGGAAATTTCATCTCTTAAAGTGGGGAGACAGTATGACCCTGGGGCTCACTGGCCATCCAGCCTAGCATATGGACACTTACACATACCTGACCTACACTCACAGTTATACACATAAATAGCCAAACCTTTACAAAGTAGACCAGGGAGGCCTGATGGTGTCTCTTGTGAGTGGATACAGGTCCTATCTTCACCCTGTCCCTTGGTCACTGCCTAGGTGGGCCGGGCCCCCAACATGGTCATTGTGTTTGACTGCTCTATGGAGACCGTGGTGTGGCGGGTGCTGCATCGCGGCTAGGTGGAACATTGTGACTTGGAGACGGCCATCTGCAGGCACCTGGAGACACACTACACCTTGTGTGAGCCTGTCCTGACCTTCAAAATGTGGGTACTCCTCAGCTGGCTGTCCAGATCAGCCTAGCCTGGGCCTACCTTTGTTTCCCCAGCCATGCAGGGTATAACCGGCTTCTTTTGTTTGTTTTTTGAGACAGAGTCTCCCTATAACCCTAGCTGGCCTTGAACTCACAGAGATTTGCCTGCCTCTGCCTCCTGAGTGCTGGGACTTCAGACATGCGCCACCACGCCCGGCTTTTTTTTTTTTTTTTTTTTTTTTTTTTTTAAAAGAACAGGGTCTCATGTAGTCCAGGCTGAGCTAGAATTCACTGTGTAGCCCCGGCTGACCTGTATCTCATGCATTCCTCCAGCTTCAACCTCCCTAGTGCTGGTGATGAAAGGTGAGGCACCAGATGAGCTTTCAGTTCCTGAAAGCCACAGTAGGCTCCCAACACTGCCTCCTGTTAGAGGTGATTCCCTGTGGGGCATGGTGGCGCAATGCCTTTAATCCTAGCACTCAGGAGGCAGAGGCAAGAGGATATCTGTGAGATACAGGACAGGTCAGTCATGTCTACACAGCCAGCAGGGGTGCCACAGAAACTCTGCCTCAAAAAACCAACTAACAGTGTCAGATGTTTCCCACACCTGGCTGACTGCATGCTGGTTAGTGCCAACTCAGGGGTCTGTAGACATGTCTTCATCCTCATGGGAAACAAACATGAGATGTAACTTCCCATGTCCAAGTCCCCTAGATCCTTCCAGGGGCTCACAACTCTCTCACTGACTTCTCCACGTCCTATACCCCCATCACTGTCACAGGGTCCAAAGCTGCAGGCATCCAGGGCTTACCTTGAGAGGGTACCCCTCTTGTAGAATTGTGCAGCCTTGACCTTGACCACCCCCCCCCCGCAATGGCTTCCTCTCCCCCAGATCTTGGCAGAAGCAGCTCTGGACGGCATCTTTGCAAAGTGCTGCTCAGTCAGACAGTCTGCAGTGAGCTGGGAAGGGGCCCTGGCCCAACCCCTCCCCACCTCATGCACAGCCCTGGGAGCTAGGGGACCTGTGAGGTGAGACTTTGGATGGGTGACAGTCCCTATGTTGTTCCTGGCTTCATCATGGGCAGATGGGTGCCCAACAACTAGAGATGGAGCAGCCCAGCCTAGAGGGGGCAGTGGTCAACTTCATTCTGTGTCTGGTCTCCCCTGCCTTGTACCCCAGCACTCAATGTATATTTGATTTTCTATTTTTGTGTTGAGTGGTTTGCCTGCCATGTATGCAAGTGCTCCACATGCATACAATGCCCAGAGAGGCCAGAAGAGGGCATGGGATCCCTTGGAACTGGAGTTACAGATGGTTGTTAGCTGCCATGGACTGAGTGCTGGGAACCAAACCCAGGTCCTCTGCAAGAACAGCCAGTGAGTGCTCTTAACTATTGAGCCATCTCTCCAGCCCCAAATATATGTATTTTTTGAGACAGGGTCTTGCTATGTAGACCAGGCTGGGCTTGCTCTACCTTCCTCTGCCTCCCCAGCGCTGGGATTAAAGGCATGCACCACCATGCCTGGCCCCACTCAAATTTTGAGTGCAGGGATGCACAAATTGCTCAGAGGACAATTTTATGGGGTGGAGTCCCTCCTTTTACCTTGAGGTGGTGTCTGTTCTCCAGGCCTGTGAGCTTGGGACATTGTCTCAGTTGTGAGATTTCAGGTGTGACCCTCAGCATCAGGCCTTTAAAGTAGGTTTGGGGATGGCAGGCCCGGGGCTCAGCACTCCTGCCTGAGCCATCTCCCTGGCACCACCTCAGGTGAAACCTCGTTTTGACACATGGAGACCCTACACTGCCTCCAGCCCCCAGCACAGCTGTGCCACTGTGGCCAGGCGGTCCAAGTAGCCCTGGCTTCTCCAACCCAGGCCTGGCCTCTACTTCACCACACAGGCCTATCATGTGCATGGCCCCAACACCCTGCTTCCTCAAGGCAACCTTAGGGACCTGTGGAGGCCACATCCATGGGAACATAGCCCTGGGGACCCTCTTCAGCACCTGGCTCCCCAAGTCCCAAAAGGACAAATGGTGTGGGGAGGGGGAAGGGTGGTCTCAGGGGCCACTAGCCACCCCTACCCATGCCCAATCAAGAAGGAAGGCCTGCATGTTTTCTTTTAAACAAAAAGCACTTTATTTAACAAACGGGAGAAAGGGGGTTAAGAAAGCACAAGGCGCCTGCAGAAAACTATTTCTTTTATATTTCTGTTTTCTTAAAAAACAAAACAAAAAACAAAAAAATCCCACAACACAAAGCTTATAATTTCCAATCACCATGACCAGGAATTCGGTTGTGTTTACAACATCTATAAAGAACATATACCTTCAAAGGTCTACAGGAAGGAGGGCAGGAGAGAGGGCAGACAGACAGACTGCAGCCGGCAGACGGGGAGGGTTTTTGTTACCATTTATTTGTGAAGTTAAAAACGAGCGATAAAAAGTAAAAACTGCCATACAATTTTTTTTTTGTT